TGCTCTCTGAATTACTGTAAGCTTTTGGTTGATTTCCAGAGTTCTAAAAGTGTTGATTCTGACAAATTCTGTGGTTTTTTTCATTGCTTTTATGAAAAAGGAAAATTTACTCTGCCATTTTCGCTGACATTCTTTTTTTTTTTTTCTTTCTGTTTTTTTCATGCTTAAATTGTCTTTGATTTGGCCAGTGGAAGCCTTTCATGCTGCCTTCTATGTCCTTTTGACATATGCCTATCAGTTTTTCCGCTGATCAAGCTTCCCCTGTCCAAACTCTGGAATCAACCCTTTCTCCAAAGAGCCCTGGTTTGCTTTTAAGGGGAGACTGGCATTCAGAAACCAAGACCAGGGTGTTAAGCGTGCTCATTATTTTTGGGGTGTCACTGATCCCAGGACTTCTGAGTAAACTAATAAGAACACCACACACACACACACACACACACATTTATTTCTCTCTGTATTTTGAAAACCATGAGTTCACACCAACACCTACAATTAAATACAATAAGGTTCATTCTAATTTTCCCTCCATTTATCTTTGCAATACTCTTCTCGGATGGTGGGAAATCTGGTCCCCATTATCCTGAATATATATGTTTGTTTCATCAATCTCATATTCCCATCACCATCCCCTACTCTAAGTGGATGCCCTCCTCACTGCGCTTGGACACTGACCCCCTCCCACCAGGCAGACGGAGACCCCCATGCTGTTGGCCTTCTTACCTCACTTGGGCTCTGACATCCCATACCCATCATCCCTCTGTGAGGATGATCTCCTCACCAAGTTTGGACTCCAACAGTCTAGTGGCCACCGTTTTGAACACTTTCTCTTGTCATCTAAGAACTGGCTGATTTATTCTGTCCTCTAAACACCTCTCCATCCATGTAAACCCCCCCATACCCAGAGCTGGTGTCTGCCTGCCCCCTGGTGTGGAAGCTACCACTGCGCTTGGCTCACCTATGAAGGGCCCAGCTCATCAGGGCTTCCTTGCTTTCACCACTCTTGACTAGTCCTATTGAAAAGTTGGTTTTTTCTACTTATCACCATGAAAGGGAGGGTCTTCTGGGGCCTTCTACGCTTTCACCTGAAGTGGAAATCCTGCCAGCATTCCTTCAAAACTTCTTTTGTGCTAAATGCTTTTCACACATGGTCTCAGTGAATCTCCATAAGCCAGCTACTAATGTTCCCATTTTACCTATGAGACTCAGAGATCATGTCACCTGTCCATGGTCCACGACCTTACAAACGCTGGAGCTGGGGTTCAGTCCGTGAAAGCATTTTCATTTTCATTCACCTCTGTGCCCCTCAACTCCATCCAGCTCAAAAAATAGGGGGAAGGGATTGATAGTGTTGCCCCTCTTAATTGGGGAGTCCTGAGAGAGAGAGGGGAGAACCAGATTGAGGTTCAAATTTTTGCTTATCTGTCTACTAGCTATCTCACCCAGAATGTTACCTTCTAGACCAAGAGTTGGCAAACGTTTTCTGAAAAGAGCCAGAGAGCAAATATTATTTTGGCCTTGTGGGCCGGACTCTGCCACAACTACTCAGCTGTGCCCCTGTAACAGGAACTCATGATGGACAATATGTCAGTGAATGGGTGGGGAAGAGTTTCACTAAACTATTTATAAAAACAGCTGCGATCAGCTGTTCAGAGGGAGGAGACTGAGTCTTTTTTCTTCACTACTATATCCCCAGTGTCAAGAACACTGCCTGATTATAAATAATGTTGCTGTTTTTAAAAAAAGTTTATATCTAAGCATTTCATTTTCTTTGAAGCAGCTGTAAAAAGTATTGTGCTTTTAATTTTGGTACCTACTTTGTTAGTGTATACAAATGCATCTAAGATTTATAGATTAATCTTGTGTCCCATGATATTGCTGAACTAATTTATTAGTTCTAGAAGAGTTTTTTTGTAAATTCCTTGAGAATGTCTATGTGGATAATCATGTCATTTGCAAAGAAAGATAGCTTAATTTTTTCAAAAAAAAAAACACTGCCTGGCACATAGTAGGCACTCCAGCGATGTTAAATGAATGACTGAATGAATTATTATGGGTTGTATATTCTTGGGGGAGAAAAGGTGACACAAGCAGGGTGACCGGTGCTGGTGGAATGGCTGAGCAGAGCATGGTAGATCCAGCTCTGGAATACGTTCAAGGTCTTTTAGAGGACTTTTTGTTCCTTAAAGGAAGGGGAAGGGGAACAACATTTATTGGGCATCTGTTTGGTGCCAAGAGACCTAACTATTCTCATGACAGCCCTGTAAGATGGGTTTGTATCACAGAATGAATGCTTGTGTCTCCCCACCCCAGGAATTCCTAGGTTGAAACCAAATCCCCAATAGCATGGTATTCTATCCCAGTGGGGATTCGGGGCATTTGGGAAGCGATTGGGTCATGAATGGGATTAGTGCTCTTACAAAAGAGACCCCAGAGGGCTCTCTCTCCCCTTCTGCTATGTGAGGACAGAGCCAGAAGATGGTCTTCTGTGAATCAGGAGGCGGGTCCACCTGACACCAGTCTGCCGGCTCCTTGGTCGTAGACTTCGGCCTCCAGAACTGTGAGAAATAAATGTTGGTTGCTTAAGCCACCCAGTCTACGCTATTCTGTTCCAGCAGCCTGAATGGACTAAGACAGTCCATGTCCCCATTTCACGTGTGGGGAAAACTGAGGCTCAGGAATTGAGGAGACATGCTCCTGATCTCACAGGTGGAGGCAGAGCTGGGGAGGTGGTGGCTTTCCCATCTCCAGAGACGCATCCACAGGGCTGGAACACCAACCCCTCAGGAAGGTGAAAAGAGATACTCGCTCTTGGATGGGCTCTTCCTACCATGCTCACTATTTACCCTTCTGCCTGGAGTTCAATACCTCGTGGCTGGACCCTGGACCGGTATCCCATTTCCTCCTGGGGCTCTAGAGCTCTGCTGAAAAACTTTTACTTCCTCTAGGAAGTCACATTCTCTTTCTCAGCCTTTGCATGTGCTGATTGCTGGAACTGAAACACCCCTCCTTCCGCCACCCCATTCCATCTCTGCAAACAAGTCATCCTCCAGAATGCAGCCTTTCCCCTAGAATGAGACCTTCAGAAAGCTCTAGAATATTTTCCAACACCACCAAGCGACTCTTCAAGTCTCAGCCAGATGCCAACTGGATGTCCTGCAGATTGAGCTCACTTCTGACACTGTCAACCCAGAGACAGCGTCAGATCTGTTTTAAAATCAACAACAGGGTGGAGGGTGTAGCTCAGGGCTGGAGCGCCTGCTTAGCATGCATCATGTTCTGGGTTCCATTCCCAGTACCGCCATTGAAAAGAAATAAATAAACCTAATTACCTTCCCCCTAAAAATAAACAACAACAACAACAACAACAACAAAACCCACAACTGTGTGCACATTAAAGATCTTGTTGGCTTTATTCAGTGATTTATGAATTGGGCAGCATCTAGTCTAGCAAACAGAAAGGAACTCTGAAGAGACGTGCAAGGCTAGAGGGTTTATAGGCAGTCGGGAGCAGGAACGAGGGAGTGGCAAGTTGCAAGGTTACTTTCTTGTACGGGGATGGCAGGAGACTATCAGGCTGTTCTTGATTGGCTGGTTTAGGTTTCCACCTCCAGGGGCGGAGGGTATAGCTTAGTGGTAGAGCGCATGCTTAGCGTGCATGAGGTCCTGGGTTCAATCCCCAGTGCCTCCGTTAAATAAACAAGCCCAATTACTTCCCCCTTGCCAAATAAGCAAATAAAAAGAAGCTACTGCTTTAAAAATTTTTTCAAAAAAATACCATTAAAAAAATCTTGTTCAAGAGGCAGAGCTTAATCTCCAGCCTCGCCATAGTTTCAATCCTCTAGTCACTTGATTTCCAGGGACCAGCCCCACCCTTGAGGCTAGAAAGCGACCCTACTCTAAGGAATTTCATTAGAATAAACAGATGTAATCAAAAGGGTCTCCTTATGAATAAGAAAAATTTCCTGATCACTCAGGAAATTACATGCCCTGTGCCAGGAACCGGGCACAAAGACTCCCAGGCTGGGTCAGGTGCCTCCTCTGGGGTCTCACAATCCCTTTTTCACATATCATGCAAAAATTCTCTGCCTTCAACAGGGAATTATATTCAGTATCTTGTAATAACATATAATGGAAAAGAATCTGAAAACAAAAAAATATGCAGGTATATGTATAACTGAATCACTTTGCTGTACACCTGAAACTAACATTGTAAATCAACTACACTTCAATAAAAATTTTTCTTTAGTTCTCTGCTTTCAGATCTGTCTGCCCCTCTAGACTGTGAGTTTCACAGGAGACTGTGTCCCTGGATTAAAGCAGGTGTTTAACAAATGTCTAGTAAACAAATGAGGTGAGTGAGGAAATGTTGTCTCACTCCATTACCTAGTTCATCTTCTATACCACACAGACATACACCCAGCCCTACATTCCAGCCCGGATTCTCATCTCTCTTTCCCATGGACACATCTCATCATCTTTTAATACCACCTCCTCCAGGAAGCCTTCCTTCCTTCCCCACTTGGAGCCCTTTCTCATATCAGCTGGGCTGCATGGACTCTGTCATACCCTCTAAGCTTTAATCTGACAGCAGGAGGTTTTCCCCAAATATCCGCTCCAGGTTGACGCTGCCTACTTCCCCAATTCCCAGACAAGTGCCACCTGCTACTTTAAAAGTGTCATTCTCCTCTTCTTCGAAATGTGACCCAGACTAAGCTGGCCTCTCAGAAACTTGCCAGTGATGGATTTCTAAAATCTCTCTAATACCCACAGACCAGGAGGAGATCACCATGGGCTGTGGGTAGGAATCAGGGAATGGAGAGCCTACTGGGTTTCTCTCCAGGCTGGACAGCGCCACCCAGTGCTCAAGGAGGCTTCAACACAGTTTTACAGAAAGATACCACACCTTCCTGCCTCCTTGCCTTTGCGTTGGCTGGAGTCCCGATCCAGGCTGCCCTTCCTCCATCTCGCCAACATTTTACCTGTTCTTAAGAGTGACGTCACTCCCTCAGCCTTACTGCAGGGGCGTTTGCTGTAAAGTGCCCTGACATTGCCAGAGGGCACAGGAAAGAGCGCCCATCCCCAGTGAGACTCTGTGGTCTTGTGGGGCTCACATGGTGAGCTCACAGTTCCCGTCGGTGGGGTCTGTAAGCGAGGCCTGGCCAGGCTGAGACCGTGAGGGGACATCGGCCGGCAGGGAGTGGGCCACGCACGATGCCCACGAGACGCTAAACTCGGGTCTCACTGGGACGCGTCCGGGGAGACACAGGCGGAGCGGTTTCGTGCTGGGCTAGCCTCCAGCTGCAGGATATCAGAGCACGTGGGCGGTGCCTCCGTCGTCAGCAACGCAGACCCGAGGGCTTGTCCCCCCGCAGGAAAGAAAAAACAGTGACGTCACAGTCCTCCCGGGTGTGCTCACGTCCCCACCTTGAGCCGTAGCCCCCCTCCACCTCGAGCCCCAGGAGGGAAGACGTGCCCCACCACAAGGCTGTGCCCTGCAGTAAAGCTGGCTCCTGGGTCCGCTGCTGCTTCAGCCTCAAAGGCTCCGTCCCTGGTGATGTGGATGAACTGCGAGTGCCTCACGTCTTAGAATCGGGAGACTTCAGGGTACATAGGCGCACTTCTTCCATCTTTGGGGAAAAGCCTCCTCAATCCTCTAGGTGTCACCAAACTTCTTGGAAAAGGATTGTTCTCACTCTTGACTTCACTTGTTCCTCTTACCTTCTCTCTACTGCCCATCCTACCCCCGTTCTCCGAAAATCACCAACGACAGTATCTACCTTTCCCTTGAGAAAACCAGCAGACCAGGTTTGTCTTGGTCTCACCCACGATAGGGACGTCTACTCCGTCCTTCCTGCTTGAACCCCACCTTCCTGGGACCCCCTGATGGCCTCACCTGCTGCTCCTTCTCCATCTCCTCCTGGCCTTGAAGTTCGCCTGTCATTTATGGCTCTTTACCATCCAAATCTCCTTCTTCTGTTGGAAGAACAAGAAAGGGGGGGTGCCAGAGATGGCTGACTGTCCACTTTCTCCGGGAGCGCAGCCAGTGTGAGGCTGCGGGGGGCAGCAAAGCCAGAGGGAGACACCAAGTCAAGAACTGAGTGAGAAACACTCAAGATCCAACAGGCCAAACATGAAAGTCCAAGCTGGTTATAAAAACCAAAGAGGGTATAGGGAGACCAGGGTGAGGTTATAAAACCATCTTGGTCTGGTGCTATTTTAGCTCACACAACTCACTAATAACAACAAAAACCCAAACAACCCAATCCAAAAATGGGCAGAAAACCTAAACAAGGAATTCTTCAGTGAAGACATACAAATGGCTAATAGGCACATGAAAAAATGTTCAATATCGCTAATTCTCAGAGAAATACAAATCAAAACTACAACAAGGTATCACCTCACACCAGTCAGAATGGCCATCATTCAAAAGTCCACAAACGATAAATGCTGAAGAGGCTGTGGAGAAAAGGGAGCCCTCCTACCCTGTTGGTGGGAATGCAGTTTGGTGCAGCTATTGAGGAAAACAGTATGGAGATTCCTCAAAAGACTAAAAATAGAATTAACATATGATCCAGCAATCCAACTCTTGGGCATATATCCAGAGGGAATCTTAAATCAAAAAGACACCTGCACCCCAATGTTCATAGCAGCACTATTTGCAATAGCCAAGACAAGGTAACAACCTAAACGTCCATCAACAAATGACTGGATAAAGAAGTTGTGGTATATTTATACAATGGAATGCTACTCAGCCATAAAAAATAATAAAATAATGCCATTTGCAGCAACATGGATGGCCCTGGAGAGTGTCATTCTGAGTGAAGTAAGCCAGAAAGAGAAAGAAAAATACCATATATCACTCATATGTGGAATCTAAAAAAAAATGCAAACGAACTTATTTACAAAACAGAAACAGACTCACAGACATAGTAACAAACTTATGGTTACCAGGGAGAAGTGAGTGGGAAGGGATAAACTGGGAGTTCGAGATTTGCAGATGCCGACTGGTAATTATAAAATAGATAAACAAGTTTATACTGTACAGCACAGGGACCTATATTTGATACCTTGTAGTAGCTTATGGTGAGAAAGAATATGAAGATGAATATATGTATATTCATGTATGACTGAAGCATTGTGTTGTACACCAGAAATTGACACAACATTGTAAACTGACTATACTTCAATTCAAAAAAATTCAAAAAAATTAATTAAATAGGCATGCTTGAAACAAACAAACAAAAAGAAGTGACATTCCTTCAGTGATGAGATAGTCTACTGGTTAGAAGGAAATTATTCATTAGTAGAAGATTATACAAGGCCGTGAATACCAGGAGGCTGGGACCCCGGGGACCATTTTAGAAACTGCTTACCATATTCCCCAGACTGTAAATTCTGTTAGTGCAGGGACACTTTTGTTCATGTTAACTATTATATCTCCAGTGCTTTAAAGAGTGAATGGCAATGGGGGAGGGTATAGCTCAAGTGGTGGAGTGCATGCTTAGCATGCAGGAGGCCCTGGGTTCAATCCCCAGTGCCTCCTCTAAAAATAAATAAACAAATCTAATTACACCCCTCCCAAAAAGAGCGAATGACTCAAAAAAGTGAATGGCATATAGTAGACAATTAATATCTGTAAAATGAAAGACTGAATGGAGTAAGCTGTATGGTATAGGAGTAGAAGAGCTAGGAATTGCTTCAATTCAACATTTCTTTTATTATGTTCAGGGGTTGTGGTCCTAATCAAAGAGCAGTGGGATGGACTGAATTGCCATGACAGGTAAAACCAAAGGTGTTGAAACTAATCGAGGAGCAGTGGGATGGATGCAACTGTCACAACACATAAAACCAAGGGTGGTGGACTACAGGGTAAACTCAGACAGGGAGGAGTCACTGAAATACAGAAGCCATGGGTCTGCTCATTTGTATCACCTTGCAAGGGCTCCAGGAAGTGATCAGCAGGTATTAGACTTGGTGAGTGCTAAGCACCTACCAAATGTATCAATTAGCTATTGCTGCATAACAAACTGACTCCCACAAATTAATAGCTCAAAATAAAAACTATTTATTTAGTTCACAACCCTGTGGTTCAGAAATTTGGGTCTGGCTCAATTGAATAGTTTCGTGAAGCACAGCTGAGCTCATTTGTGCATCTGTGGTCAGCTGGTGGGTTGACTAAGTCTGGCTACTTAGCCAGTGCAGTTTTAAAAGATAGATGAAAATATTTTGACAATGCTCCTATCAAGAGATGAGGTCTTGATCCCCTTGAATGTGAGCAGGCTTGGACTTCTTCAATGAATAGAGTACAGCAGAAGTGATATTGTGTGATCTCCAACACTAGATCATAGAAGACCATGCAACCTTCTGGCTTGTTTGCTGGAAGACTCACTTTAAGAGACTTGAGACATCACATAAGGAGTCCAGCTACCCTGAGGCTGCCCTCTACTGGGGATGTCATGTGACAGGACTACATGGAAACTTCCAGAGACTACAGAAAGAAAGAAAGATTCTCCCATGAGACCCCAACCATTTGAGTGATCCCAGTCCAGGAACCACACAAATGAGTGGAAATACCACCAGATAATTTCAACTCCCAGCCATTCTAGGCACCCCCAGCTCTTCAAGTCTTCCCAGCGTAAGCACTAGATGCCTTGGAGAAGGAAAAAAATCATTCCTACTGCTTCCTGTCCGAACTCCTGACCTACAGAATCCATGAATATATTAAAAATGGAGGCTGTTTTATGCCACTGACTTCTGGGATGGCTTGTTACACAGCAGTAGAAAACTGGAACAGCTGGCCTCGTTCATAGCTGAAAGTGGATTGACTGACGATCGAGGCCACAGAGGTGACTGAGTAATGTGCCTCTCATGACCCAGGCTAGCTTGAGCTAAATGGCAGAGGAGGCAGCTCTCATCAACCCCCAATAGAAACATCCAAAAATTGTCATAACCACATTTCTCAACAGTCAAAGGTTTATAGCAACTCCACCCAACAAAGAGTTTAAAGGATTGATCCCAAAGATGCTCAAAGAACTAGGGAGAAAAGTAGATGAGCGGAGTGAGAAGTCAGGCATTTTAAAGAAAGAATTAGAAAATAAAAAGAGGAACCCAACAGGGCTGAAGAATACAATGAAAGAGTTAAATATCTGAGAATAAATTTAATCAGGAAAAATTTGAACATTGACGACTACAAATAAATGAAAGAACACTTAATTGGTGGAACTACAGCCTGTGTTCAGGACTAAGGAGACTTACAATATTCTTAAGATGTCAGTACTACCCAAAGCTATCAACAGATTCAACACAATCCCTATCAAAATTCCAACATCTTTTTTTTGCATAAATGGAAAAGCCCATCCTCAAATTCATGTGGAATTACAAGGGGTCCCTGAAAGTCAAAACAATTTTGAAAAAGAAAAGCAAAGTTGGAGGACTCGTCCTTTCTGATTTTAAAACTTAAAGCAGAGCTACAGTAACAAAACAGTTCAAGAAGGTCCCAGAAGGACAGATGTATTACCAATGGAATAGAATTCAAAGTCCAGAAATAAACCCATGCATCTCTGGCCAGTAGATTTTTTGCAGTGATGCCATGTCCATTCAATGGGGAAAAGCTAGTGTCTTTAACAAATGGTGCTGGGACAACCAAATTTCCACATGCAAATGAATGAAATTGGACCCCTACTTCACGCTGTATATAAAAATTAACTCAAAATGGATCAGTAACCTAAATACAAGAGTGAACATCATTCAACTCTTAGAAGAAAACATAGTGATAAATCTATATGACACTGAATTTGGCAATAGATTCTTAGATGTGACATCAAAAGCACTGGCAACAAAATGAAAAAATAGATAAATTGGACTTCATCAAAATTTAAAATGTTTGCACATCAAAGGACATCTTCAGGAAGGTGAAAAGGCTTCCTACTGAATGGGAGAAAATATAAGCAGATCATATATCTGATAAGAGCTTAATATCTGGAATATATAAAGAAATCCTACAACTGAATAACAAAAACATATAGCTCAGTTTAAAAATGGGCAAAAGACTTAAATAGACATTTCCCCAAAGATGGTCTATGAATGACCAATAAGCTCATGGAAAGATGCTCAGTATTGCTAGTTAT